GCGTAGCAGCAGTTCGCCGTAGTAATGAACGAACTGTGCGACCGAAAAAGACCGTCTGCTCGGGATCGACCAGGGGTACCCACAGAATGCTCAATACAGAGCCCATCCACATGGATCTGGTACGCGAGTCAAAGCTATATGCGAGGCGGCCGAGTGTTTTCCTCCAGGTGTCTGACAGCTTCATTACCGAGACCCAGGGACCCACCGCCATACATTTCCGCACTTGACAGACCGAAATAAATAAAAAAAAGTATACAATTTAAACCGCTTTTACGGCACCTATTTAAATGTGGCTCGCTGTAATCGGTTATGCGGGAAATAAGTTATTACTTACATCAAAGATTTGCATACATCGTCTAAGGGGGTCCCTGCGGAAGGGTACATGCCGGGCTCTTGCCGGGGGACTTGAGGCTAAGGCAATGTCGAATTTGTCCCTTTCAGACTGCTTTAGAGGTGAGCGGCCGGGCGAGGGATATCGTATGAGTAGAATCGTACGCACCGAGAACACTGGGCCAAGTGAAGGAAGAAGTTAAGCAAAAGAATTTGCTGGGGAAACTTTGGCTTCAATGAAATGAAATAAAATTGCATTATAACGGCACGGTCGGGGGCCGGGGCACAGGGTCCTGGCTCAAAGGTTCTAGGCGGGTATGGGTGCTTTCGGACGGCAGGGATGGGGCGAGGGTTACGACGTGTGCGAAAAACTTTCGCCTTGCTTCTATTTTTACGAGAATTCCTTGCACTATGGTCCAAAATTCAATTTCAAATGGAAAAAAATTCAAATTAATCGGGCCGGCTCCTGCTTTCACTTACTTGTGCGTTTACGTTTTTCGAAAGCCGGAGCCTGCCTGTATATTTTATAATATGTTCCAAATTCCATAACGCAATTAAATCTGTACAATTTTATGTCCATGTAAATCGCATTTTCCGGCCATAGTTCAATGGGCACAGAAAAGTCAAGTCACTGAACGGCAGAGCACTCACACTCGCTCTGGGTCGCACATCAATTTGTTTAACCCGCACATCTGTCAAAGTTTGTCCCCCTCCCGCTCTTTATTTAACCCGATTTCCGCAATTAAGTTTATATCATTCACCTGCGCCGACTAAATCAGGACCAAAGCAAAGCAAAGCGAGGCGAGGTGAGGCGATAGCACTAGCAGAATGGCTCCTGCTGTCCCGGCCAAGGACGACCACAATGACGATGGCGAGGATGGGTATGTGACTGGGTGGGGCTGGTGAGTGACAAGTGAACTTTAAGCGGGCCTGGATGCGGTGCCGAAGGACGACGATGATGATGGAGGTGGCGATGTGCTATGCCACAGCCACGACTCTTTGACAGAACGAGAACTTTTATTTAAGCCTGAGTTTGACTTTTCCTTCATTGCCTTATATATAGTGGACGGACTTGGGTGACGTACATATGTAAATAACGATTTGTGGTTGTTGCACTAGCAACAGAGACTGATCAAGGATACGGCTTTCAAAAATGAATGAGAAACTCATTAAAATTGAATTAGAGATATATGGAAAAAAGACGATAGTTATGTGGTGAATCCTCTGATGGCTTAGTGTGGCTTTATTTTGTATGAGACGCACATCTTGGGGTAAGACATGGGAATTTTCCAAGTTAAAGAAGCATCCTGGACCTGGACACACATAGAGACATAGCGATTCAGTGACAGAGAGACAATGATACGACTTGCGACAAGACTGCCTCATACTCCTTCTAAAACCAAAACTTTTCCGAATGGGAGAGAAGAGAGCACAAGAGCTGCATTAAATCTATGCTTGTTTGTTTGCCTTTCAAATGTATTCGCAAAGAAGGTCTTGGCAGGACGGGTGCCGTATATCCACCTATCTTCACGTCCTTCTCTATGTGTGTGTGTGCGACGCGGCTTTGCGTTAGTTGAAAAAATAATTCTAACAGCAACTCAAACAGACAAACAAAATGGCAGGCGGACAAACAAACCAACAGAAAACATGAAAGCGGCGCAAGTAAAGCAACAGCAAATATAACAAAACAAAAATGAGAAAACGAAAATCCAGCTTCGGGATCCGAAGGGTGTCATACCCTTGCAAAGCCCATGTTAGCTTTATATTTACATTGCGTTCTGTAGCAACCCATAGATATAGAGCTCGGCATATCCTTGCAGATCCCAGTTCAGCAATCTTGGGGTAGCTTTATATTTATAAAGCCATAGTCGTTACTGTCATTCGATTTCGATAAAATTCGGCTGAGCATTGAAGAAAAAGTGAAACCACAGGTTTTTTCCCGGTGGTGTGGCTGGCGCCGCCCCGGGCCCGCGGGGGCCCCCCCCCCGGGCCCGGCCCCGTCCCCCCCCCCCCCCCCCCCCCCCGGGCTAGTGAGCAAACAGGGTCGGGATAGTGCCAGAGCGCCCCCTCTTTTAAATTTGGTTGCATAACTTTTAATACAGAAATTGAAGCTAGATTTGAAAGCAGCTGCAGATGAATCGAATTTATGGATAAAGTCAACAGATTTTTATGTGATGATTGTCACATGTGCATGACGAATTAATTAATTTGTATTTTCTAGTGCAGCACATATGTATGTATGTATGTACATATGTCTCCGAAATCTGCAACAGATAATTCTCCTAAATAAGCTTCATGAACGTTCTGCAATGAAATATACCCTTGTCCTGCGCTAGTACCGCAGTTCAGCGTATAAAACGGATGAAATAAATGCACAGAAACAGCCAGAGAGATTGGGCGAGAGAATGGACTTAAGGAAACAGTGGGTATACGTAAAGAGAGCAGAGTGCGGCTGAACCAGGCAGACGGAAGGAGAGCGCAACATTTTATGTTTGTGCTGGGCAAACTTTGTCACGAAAACTTGCTCCAAACGGTACCTGAGCAGGCGACTCCTGGGCCCATTGCAAGCCCCGAGCCTCCTTAAAGATCGATCACGTGTTTGAACAGCGCTGCCAGACGAAGCAGAGACGTTTGGTGGCTGGCATACATATGTATGTACTATATGTTAGGAATGGGTGGCGTGTGTGGGTCCATGTGTTTGCATTCAGTTCATTCAAATATATTTTCAGCAATCTTTTCTTGTCATTTCAAATGCGATGATGTTTAGATGTCGCTCTCCCATCCTGCACTCCCACTCACACTTTCACATCGTCTAACAGGATTTGTATATTTTACCCAATCAACCATTTCATGGACAACATGTAGCCTAGACAACGACTCCATGCCCCTCCCTGTGTACCCACACAGTGTGTCATGCGACTGGCCCACAAAGAGATCTGAAAGGTCCAAAGATTCTCCTTCGCGATTTGTTTGGCAAAATAAGCTAGATTGTAGACGAGACTGTAGGAGAAGAGTGGCATTGCTGTTATTTGCTCACACACATATGTAATCAACCGAGGATTACGTACCACATGATAGATAAGGGCACAAATTTGGGGCATTTTAAATTAAATTTAGGCCTACATTTTCAGTTTAGAAATAGTTAGTTGTTTTTCAGACCTGCTCCGACAGTAGACTTTATTTTTTTCGGTACGAAGTGATGTAAGTGGCTCACGACAACCTTTTGCTCTTGTTCTTTTGTTCACCGATTTTGTTGCACTCCTCACTCCATGTTACATATCAGCTATTGGCGTTAACATTTTCAAAATACTCGTAATCTTACATGTGGCAGCTTTTTGACACTGTATGAGTGCCAGAGGTGGCAATCTGCTTTCAATTTACGCCAGTTGGCTCTGATAATATCCGCTGGGGACTGCCGCCCTTACAGCCGGGACTTGAAGCCATGTCGAGTGGCTTTAAAATGCAATTTTGGAAAAAACCGGGCGCCACCCGAATGCGGGTTCGGGCTGGGCTCGTTCGAGTGCTGCAGTTGCAGCTGCTGCTGGCCCTAACGCCCTCTGGCCACCCAATCACATAACTTTGACAGCATTTTTGCAGAATTACAATTAACTGCCTAGATCCGACCGCGGCCGATGCTGTTCTCCAGGCCTGGGGCCTCTGTCTTGTCGAGACCACTGCCACTGCCAGCATAACCCTGGAATACGACCAGGCGCAGCGGATGCCGCGCAATTTCAGCCTAACAGTATGCAACCACGATTGCAGGAACTACTACTACTTCCTCCATGAGGCGTATGGTGGGCGTGGGTGACCACGAGTGTGTGTGGGCTGGCGGTGGGGCTGGGATTCGTGCTGGGAAATTTGTTCCATTTTACGCTTTCTACACAAAAGCAATAAATCGCTCACAGCATCTACCCAGCGTCAACTTTCCTAATGCAGCGACCTGCTGCCATGACGGACCCGCTGCCCATGTTGGATGCAGAATGCAGGATGCTGGATGAAGCCACCAGGATGCCAGCAATTGAGGCTGAAGTCATTTTAACTGCCACTTGAATGGAAAAAACTTTAAATAAACAGGAAAGAATGCCAATGTCATGTGTTGCAACTATAGGATACCCGACTGAGTACTAACATAATTTATGTAAACGAACTGATAATCTATTTGTATATTCCAGTTGTGCTTCAGAGCAATTGAGCATAGATTACAATCGGAGAGATCTATGTCCTATACATAAATACATGGATATGTCGGAATACATGTCAAAGGATTTGTCTGCCTGTTACACGAACGCAGTATATCCTTGGATTCTTTGAGTACAGGGTACAACAAAAACTATTCATGTATGTATGTACTTTATGTAGATATTATAGGAGTGTATCCCACTCGGTGTGTGTTGGTAAACGAGTCTAGGGGGTCTAAAATTGTAATTTGTAATTTTCAACTTTTAAGTGGCTGCCACGTGTGAGGCCCCATCCCCCTGCACCTTCTCTGGATTCTCTTCGGGCTATAGAAAATATAAATTAAAATCAACATGAACACAGTCCTGTTTTTCCTTCTAGTCTACACCGCTCCGTCCCGGTGTTTGACAACTTTACAACAATCGGTGCAATAAAAATGGAGAGTATTTTTTTTGTTCTATAGCTATGCGGAGTTTTTATTATACTCATGGTGGAAAACAGAAGGTGAAACAGCTAACATTCACAATTATGGTATAGTATTTCCATTCCAGGAGATCTGGGTGAGGAGCAACTGGTTGCAGAGAAACAAGATTAAAACATTAAGTTGCATGCGCAAAGATATTCCCCAAAAGTAGCACGAAATTATCAATGTGAAGTCAAGACCATCCTCGTTAAGCAGATCGATGCATAGGTCATACCATCGCGATGTTAGTCTGCAATTATTTTTTTTAGTTTTATTTTTTCTCTAATTTTTGTAGTTGCCTCTCAAATTTTGTAAAATGTTGTGCCTAAATGATTGTGTCTAAAATTTTGTCAAACATTTGTTGTCTAAAATTTAATGTCTCAAAGGTGTTATTTAAAGTGATTCCCCAAGTCGCACCAATCCATCAAAGAGCACCCGAATTGGTGAGGGATATACCCAGCAGGGCGGCCGATTGGTGCAAGGATCTTGAACATGGGGACTGGACGATCTGAATGATCTGGACGATGTGGACGATCTGGACAATCTGGCCGACCGGTAGTCATTATTGCGCTCCGACTGGAGGGAAAAAGCATAGGTATTCGCATCATTGTTATGCGTCTGCTGAAAGGCGATTAGATCAGGTTCCTGCACTGCGTTGTGGTAGGCTTCAGGCGTCCCTCCAAGGGAAAGTGACAATCTGGCGATCTCTGGCTCTGTCGGAAAAGCACAGGTGTTCCCACCATGTTTATGAGCTTGCTGCCATCCGATCAGATCGTACAGTCCAATATCGAGCATGGCGTTGTAGTAGGGTCCAGGCGCTCCTCCATGGGGACGTGACGATCTGGCGTTGAAGTCATCCTCTGACTCCGATGAACATCCGCAGATGTGGACACCAGATTTCTGCACGGCGTTGTATGCGTTAGGGTAGACTGCAGCCGCTCCTTTATCAGGACTAGACGTTCTGGCAGCGTCGAGCTCCTCCACGGCTTTATTGTCTTTGTGGTAGGATCCGGCTTCTCCCTTATCTAGACTAGATGATTTGGCGGCGCAATCGTTAATGCATTGCGTCTCTGACTCAAGCTCCGAATCAAAGTGCGTCTTAGTCTCCGGCGGACAAGTGCAGAAGGTTTCGGCAGACACGTCCGAACCTTCCCTATGGGGCTGCTTCCAGACGACCTGATTCGAGTTTCTATTGTCCTGCACGGCGGTATAGCTATTTTGGTTGGCACCAGGCGGAAAGCAACAGAGTCCAGGTCTTGACGGGCTGAAGTCTCTCTGTTCCACGGAACAGCTGTTTTGCGTTGATGTTCCAGTGCTATGGTAAGCAGGTGGTTGAAGAAGGTTGGTTGGTGAAGAAGCGTTTGGTGGTGCGGCAAAACTGTTCTGGCACCGCGGTACCGGTACCGAAGCTATAGACATTGATGTCGTTGTCGTTTGTCCCAATTGACCGACGTCCATCGACTGGAAGTGGGGGTCTAAGGACACTTTCTCGCATATGCCACAGTGCTCGCCTATCTCCTCCTGTCCTAGGTCCTGAGAGTTGTTGCATGTGAAGAAGTCTGATTCGCTGTCATTCTCCAACAGCGAGTACTCCAGCGAGTGACATCTCCGCTGGAGAGGCGTCTCGGTGGCTATATCCAAACACGTCTTGGGCATTTGCAACTGGTGGTGCGGCGTTAGTGAAAGGTTGTTAAAGGTTGACATGCTGACCTTTTCCAACTGATCGTCTGTCGACCGCTCTCCATCATTATCGGTGGCATGAGCTGGCTCGGTTAAATTTCCAAACATTCCAGCGGGATAAGGGATATCTGCCTGTGGCATATCACGCTGTGAAACCGCTCTGCCGAGCTGCTCGGTATGTCCGTATGCGGTTACGTGACGCTGGTCCGACACACATAGCATAGACGGTATCTTCTCATTTTCCAGACCCTCATTGGTCATCTGAATTTCGCGGTGTTCACGTGCCTGGCAGACGCTATTGCGATCGTTGTCCTGTTTTATGCAATCGCTTATGCTGGATGGGGCCGTCTGGCTGCGCAAGTTTTCCATGCACTCTCTTATCAAGGCCGTACATTCTGATATTGGCGCGGCAGCAGAGACTTCCTGTGAGGGCATGCTCATCTCCTCTGTGACTCTGTGCGCTCCTCTCTCATTATTGAAATTGTCGCCGAACGAGGGCATGGTCTCATCCTCGATGCGCTCACTTTTTTCAAGCCCACGATGTCCAGTAGGGTATGCGTCCATCACAGTGTTGCCTGCTCCCTGCGAAGGCTGCCGCGTTTCCCTCTGACTTTCATTTACAGGAAGGCTTGGCGTATAGAACCCGTCCCTTAATCCGCTCAAGAGAGTCTCTCTTGGCATAGAAGTCAGCCTCCTGACTCCTTCCCTCATTACGGAAGGTTCTGATTCATCGCTAATATTACGCGATGGCAGGTGATTTCCTCTCATAATGCTATTGGCTCCTGCGTCGTTCAAAAGAGTCGCTCTCGACATAGTAGTCGGCCTCCTGGAAAAACTTGAGACTTCACCAAATGATGGCATAGTCTCATCCTTAAAAGATGATTCTCTCAATATGGAAGGTTCGGATTCGTCGCAAATGTTTTGTGATGGCATTGTCTCGTCGGCTAGGCATTCGTCAGTTGTATACCGTCGAGTCGGGATATTATTCGTCGGCATCGCCACCTGTTGGCCTCTGGAGGTCCTCCTTCTTATGACGCCTCCCACTTCATCATATTCTGGCATCCACTCGTCTTCTATATTCTCATTCGCTTTGAGTCCTCCGTTTTGAAAGCTTATTCTAGACTCCACGAACTCTTCGGTGCTAGTGGCGCGTGTTGTGGTGGCAATCGGAAGTGCAATTTGATCACTGATATTCTGACGGGCCCTAATGTCTTCAGGTTCGGTCGCCATAGTTTGGCGTATTTCTGATAATTTAGAGTCACATGTAGAAGGAACTATATTTGCAACAGTCATCTCTCGACAGGTTGATGAGCAGACGTTTAACTCTGAAACGTATCCGTCCCGTCTCGTGGAATTCGCTTGTGGAAATTTAGGGGTTTGTTCGAATGAAGGCATGGTTTCATCATCCAGGCATTCATGCCTTTGACCAGATGCACCTAAGAATGTCACTGAATTACCACCAATATTTTGAGAAGGCCTCTGACTGTATGTAGCTTCAGAGACAGTAGCATCAAAAGTGGGCGCCGACACATCGTTTATGTTCTGAGAAGGAATAGATTGCCTCTGAAAACTTACAGGCATGGCTTGCCTCTGAGAATTTGAAACCATGGATTGTCTCTGACTGTATCTAGTTGCAGCACCGGTTCTCGGCAGTGCTGGAACCGATTCTTTCCAAATTATTTGAGAAGGCATAGACTCCCTCTGAAAATGTGCAGGCAATGACTCCCTCTGACTAGTGCCAGGCCCACCAGAACTTGCAACTGTAGAACACGATTCATCGCATCTGCTCTCTGTAGGCATAAATTTAATCTGAAAACTTTCAGTCATTGATTGTTTTTGAGTAGTTGTAGGTACAGATTGCCTCTGATTGTACACACTTCCGAGACCAGTTCTTTTAAAAGTGTTTTCCGATGCATCATATAAGCTTGCTGTCGTCATGGTTTGCATCATATTGGTAGAAGGCACTGCTTGAATCTGACTGTGTTTTGTTCCACGACCTGTATTTTCAAATGACGGTTCCGATTCATGGTTTATGTTTTGGGAAGGCATGGATTGCCTGTAAGTTGCGCCACAACCACTACCGGAACTCGCGAATGTAGGACACGATTCATCGTTTATGTTTTGGGAAGCCATGGATTGCCTTTGATTGTATGCAGTTCCACGACCAGTACTTTCGAATGTGGGTGCCGATTCATCGATTATATTTTGAGAAGGCATGGGTTGCCTGTAAGTCGTGCCACAACCACTACCGGAACTCGCGAATGTAGGACACGATTCATCGTTTATATTTTGGGAAGGCATAGATTGCCTTTGATTGTACGCAATTCCACGACCAGTACTTTCGAATGTAGGTGCCGATTCATCGATTATATTTTGGGAAAGCATGGATTGCCTGTAAGTCGCGCCACAACCACTACCGGAACTCGCGAATGTAGGACACGATTCATCGTTTATGTTTTGAGTAGACATGGATTGCCTTTGATTGCATGCAGTTCCTCGACCAGTACTTTCGAATGTGGGCGCCGATTCATCGATTATATTTTGGGAAGGCATAGAATGCATCTGCCTGTTTGCATTTCCATGATCAGTACTTTCGAATGTGGGTGCCGATTCATCGATTATATTTTGGGAAGGCATGGATTGCCTGTAAGTCGCGCCACAACCACTACCGGAACTCGCGAATGTAGGACACGATTCATCGTTTATATTTTGGGAAGGCATGGATTGCCTTTGATTGTACGCAATTCCACGACCAGTACTTTCGAATGTAGGTGCCGATTCATCGATTATATTTTGGGAAAGCATGGATTGCCTGTAAATCGTGCCACAACCACTACCGGAACTCGCGAATGTAGGACACGATTCATCGTTTATGTTTTGAGTAGGCATGGATTGCCTTTGATTGCATGCAGTTCCTCGACCAGTACTTTCGAATGTGGGCGCCGATTCATCGATTATATTTTGGGAAGGCATAGACTGCATCTGCCTGTTTGCATTTCCATGATCAGTACTTTCGAATGTGGGTGCCGATTCATCGATTACATTTTGGGAAGGCATGGATTGCCTGTAAGTCGCGCCACAACCACTACCGGAACTCGCGAATGTAGGACACGATTCATCGTTTATATTTTGGGAAGGCATGGATTGCCTTTGATTGTACGCAATTCCGCGACCAGTACTTTCGAATGTAGGTGCCGATTCATCGATTATATTTTGGGAAAGCATGGATTGCCTGTAAGTCGCGCCACAACCACTACCGGAACTCGCGAATGTAGGACACGATTCATCGTTTATGTTTTGAGTAGGCATGGATTGCTTTTGATTGCATGCAGTTCCTCGACCAGTACTTTCGAATGTGGGCGCCGATTCATCGATTATATTTTGGGAAGGCATAGACTGCATCTGCCTGTTTGCATTTCCACGACCAGTACTTTCGAATGTAGGTGCCGATTCCTCGATTATATTTTGGGAAAGCATGGATTGCCTGTAAGTCGCGCCACAACCACTACCGGAACTCGCGAATGTAGGACACGATTCATCGTTTATGTTTTGGGAAGCCATGGATTGCCTTTGATTGTACGCAATTCCACGACCAGTACTTTCGAATGTAGGTGCCGATTCATCGATTATATTTTGGGAAAGCATGGATTGCCTGTAAATCGTGCCACAACCACTACCGGAACTCGCGAATGTAGGACACGATTCATCGTTTATGTTTTGGGAAGCCATGGATTGCCTTTGATTGTACGCAATTCCACGACCAGTACTTTCGAATGTAGGTGCCGATTCATCGATTATATTTTGGGAAGGCATGGACTGCATCTGCCTGTTTGCATTTCCATGATCAGTACTTTCGAATGTGGGTGCCGATTCATCGACTATATTTTGAGAAGGCATGGATTGCCTGTAAGTTACGCCACAACCACTACCGGAACTCGCGAATGTAGGACACGATTCATCGTTTATGTTTTGAATAGGCATGGATTGCCTTTGATTGCATGCAGTTCCTCGACCAGTACTTTCGAATGTGGGCGCCGATTCATCGATTATATTTTGGGAAGGCATAGACTGCATCTGCCTGTTTGCATTTCCATGATCAGTACTTTCGAATGTGGGTGCCGATTCATCGATTATATTTTGAGAAGGCATGGATTGCCGGTAAGTTACGCCACAGCCTCTACCGGAACTCGCGAATGTAGGACACGATTCATCGTTTATGTTTTGGGAAGCCATGGATTGCCTTTGATTGTACGCAATTCCGCGACCAGTACTTTCGAATGTAGGTGCCGATTCATCGATTATATTTTGGGAAAGCATGGATTGCCTGTAAGTCGCGCCACAACCACTACCGGAACTGGCGAATGTAGGACACGATTCATCGTTTATGTTTTGAGTAGGCATGGATTGCCTTTGATTGCATGCAGTTCCTCGACCAGTACTTTCGAATGTGGGCGCCGATTCATCGATTATATTTTGGGAAGGCATGGACTGCATCTGCCTGTTTGCATTTCCATGATCAGTACTTTCGAATGTGGGTGCCGATTCATCGACTATATTTTGAGAAGTCATGGATTGCCTGTAAGTTACGCCACAACCACTACCGGAACTCGCGAATGTAGGACACGATTCATCGTTTATGTTTTGAATAGGCATGGATTGCCTTTGATTGCATGCAGTTCCTCGACCAGTACTTTCGAATGTGGGTTCCGATTCATCGTTTATGTTTTGGGAAGCCATAGACTGCATCTGCCTGTTTGCATTTCCATGATCCGTACTTTCGAATGTGGGTGCCGATTCATCGAATATATTTTGAGAAGGCATGGATTGCCTGTAAGTTACGCCACAACCACTACCGGAACTCGCGAATGTAGGACACGATTCATCGTTTATGTTTCGAATAGGCATGGATTGCCTTTGATTGTATGCAGTTCCACGACCAGTACTTTGGAATGTAGGTGCCGATTCATCGATTATATTTTGGGAAGGCATGGACTGCATCTGCCTGTTTGCATTTCCATGATCAGTACTTTCGAATGTGGGTGCCGATTCATCCACTATATTTTGAGAAGGCATGGATTGCCTGTAAGTTACGCCACAACCACTACCGGAACTCGCGAATGTAGGACACGATTCATCGTTTATGTTTTGAATAGGCATGGATTGCCTTTGATTGTATGCAGTTCCACGACCAGTACTTTCGAACGTGGGTTCCGATTCTTCGTTTATGTTTTGGGAAGGCATGGATTTCCTTTGATTGTATGCAGTTCCCCGACCAGTACTTTCGAATGTGGGTTCCGATTCATCGTTTATGTTTTGGGAAGGCATGGATTGCCTTTGATTGTATGCAGTTTCCCGACCAGTACTTTCGAATGTCGGTTCCGATTCATCGTTTATGTTTTGGGAAGCCATGGATTGCATCTGCCTGTTTGCATTTCCATGATCAGTACTTTCGAATGTGGGTGCCGATTCATCGATTATATTTTGTGAAGGCATGGAATGCCTGTAAGTTGCGCCACAACCTCTACCGGACCTCGCGAATGTAGGACACGATTCATCGCATCTGTTTTCTGAAGGCATACGTTTCCTCTGAGTTCTTTCAGCCATTGATTGCCTTTGAGTACTTGCAAGCAGAAATTGATTCTGATTGTTAACAGATCCGAGACCGGTACTTTCAAAAGCGGGTTCCGATTCATCCCATAAGCTTGCTGAAGGCATGGACTGCTTTTTATGGGTGGCAGGCAGTGCTTGAATCTGACTGTGTTTTGTTCCACGACCTGTATTTTCAAATGACGGTTCCGATTCATCGTTTATGTTTTGGGAAGGCATGGATTGCCTTTGATTGTATGCAGTTCCCCGACCAGTACTTTCGAATGTCGGTTCCGATTCATCGTTTATGTTTTGGGAAGGCATGGATTGCCTTTGATTGTATGCAGTTCCCCGACCAGTACTTTCGAATGTCGGTTCCGATTCATCGTTTATGTTTTGGGAAGGCATGGATTGCCTTTGATTGTATGCAGTTCCACGACCAGTACTTTCGAATGTGGGTTCCGATTCTTCGTTTATGTTTTGGGAAGGCATGGATTGCCTTTGATTGTATGCAGTTCCCCGACCAGTACTTTCGAATGTGGGTTCCGATTCATCGTTTATGTTTTGGGAGGGCATGGATTGCCTTTGATTGTATGCAGTTCCACGACCAGTACTTTCGAACGTGGGTTCCGCTTCATCGTTTATGTTTTGGGAAGGCATGGATTGCCTTTGATTGTATGCAGTTCCCCGACCAGTACTTTCGAATGTCGGTTCCGATTCATCGTTTATGTTTTGGGAAGGCATGGATTGCATCTGCCTGTTTGCATTTCCATGATCAGTACTTTCGAATGTGGGTGCCGATTCATCGATTATATTTTTTGAAGGCATGGATTGCCTGTAAGTTGCGCCACAACCTCTACCGGACCTCGCGAATGTAGGACACGATTCATCGCATATGTTTTCTGAAGGCATACATTTCCTCTGAGTTCTTTCAGCCATTGATTGCCTTTGAGTAGTTGCAAGCAGAAATTGATTCTGATTGTTAACAGATCCGAGACCGGTACTTTCAAAAGCGGGTTCCGATTCATCCCATAAGCTTGCTGAAGGCATGGACTGCTTCTTATTGGTGGCAGGCAGTGCTTGAATCTGACTGTGTTTTGTTCCACGACCTGTATTTTCAAATAACGGTTCCGATTCATCTATTATGTTTTGGGAAGGCATGGATTGCCTTTGATTGTATGCAGTTCCCCGACCAGTACTTTCGAATGTCGGTTCCGATTCATCGTTTATGTTTTGGGAAGGCATGGATTGCCTTTGATTGTAGGCAGTTCCCCGACCAGTACTTTCGAAAGTGGGTTCCGATTCATCGTTTATGTTTTGGGAGGGTATGGATTGCCTTTGATTGTAAGCAGTTCCACGACCAGTACTTTCGAACGTGGGTTCCGATTCATCGTTTATGTTTTGGGAAGGCATGGATTGCCTTTGATTGTATGCAGTTCCCCGACCAGTACTTTCGAATGTGGGTGCCGATTCATCGTTTATGTTTTGCGAAGGCATGGATTGCCTTTGATTGTATGCAGTTCCCCGACCAGTACTTTCGAACGTGGGTTCCAATTCATCGTTTATGTTTTGGGAAGGCATGGATTGCATCTGCCTGTTTGCATTTCCATGATCAGTACTTTCGAATGTGGGTGCCGATTCATCGATTATATTTTGTGAAGGCATGGATTGCCTGTAAGTTGCGCCACAACCTCTACCGGACCTCGCGAATGTAGGACACGATTCATCGCATCTGTTTTCTGAAGGCATACGTTTCCTCTGAGTTCTTTCAGCCATTGATTGCCTTTGAGTAGTTGCAAGCAGAAATTGATTCTGATTGTTAACAGATCCGAGACCGGTACTTTCAAAAGCGGGTTCCGATTCATCCCATAAGCTTGCTGAAGGCATGGACTGCTTCTTATTGGTGGCAGGCAGTGCTTGAATCTGACTGTGTTTTGTTCCACGACCTGTATTTTCAAATGACGGTTCCGATTCATCGTTTATGTTTTGGGAAGGCATGGATTGCCTTTGATTGTATGCAGTTCCCCGACCTGTACTCTCGAATGTCGGTTCCGATTCATCGTTTATGTTTTGGGAAGGCATGGATTGCCTTTGATTGTATGCAGTTCCCCGACCAATACTTTCGAATGTCGGTTCCGAATCATCGTTTATGTTTTGGGAAGGCATGGATTGCCTTTGATTGTATGCAGTTCCCCGACCAGTACTTTCGAATGTCGGTTCCGATTCATCGTTTATGTTTTGGGAAGGCATGGATTGCCTTTGATTGTATGCAGTTCCACGACCAGTACTTTCGAATGTGGGTGCCGATTCATCGCTTATGTTTTGGGAAGGCATGGATTGCCTTTGATTGTATGCAGTTCCACGAACAATAGGCATGGATTGCCACTGAGTAGATGCTGTCGAGGATTGTCTCTGCATAGTGTAAGGTTCACCACCGGAAGAGGCAAAATTAGGACAGGATTTATCGCATATGTTTCTTAAAGTCACTGATTGACTCTGATTGTAAGTATTTTCATGACCTGAACTAGGAGTAGGGAAATTAGGAGCCGGCTCATCACTTTTATTCTGCCGGAGCATTGATATCCTCTGAGTGGATCCTAGAGAGCTGATTATTGCAAACGGCGAAGCCGACACTTCATCCATGTACTCGCTGGGTAGTTTCACTTGCTGGCGGGATGAAGCTGCAGCTCCACCAAACGACGGGATTATTGCATCATCCAGAACATCATCAGTCGTGGCGTCTTGACCATCATCCACAGTGTCACGCGTTAAAAAGGTTATTCGTGGAGATAATGTATTTTCCTCAAGGTTTTCGACACGTTCCCGCTGCTGTGAATCGCTCCGTCTCGTCGACCCGGCCTCACCGCGAAACGGTGCGGATTCACTTACTAGGTTTCGGGACAGGGAGTGTCTTCTGGGACTCGAACCTTGGGACAAGCTCCGTTGGTATGTCGGGGAACTGACGCCCTCTTGAAACTCACTGCGTCTGCTAACTGGACTTTGAGATCGACTTCTTCGGTGGTCGCTTTCAAATTTTGAGCTCGGCCTAGTCTGTTGCGAACTGCCCGAAATACGAGTCGTGTTAGCAAACGATATCATTGCTCCTTCGTCGAGAAACACATTTCTTCTGGGAGCTTGTTCTTGGGATATGCCTTTTAGCATATAGCCTTCAAAATATACCCTGGGCCACGTTTGTTGTGTGCTCCTGTCCAAAAAGCCGGATGTGTTGGCATACTCGGGACAATATTCTTGCCCAACCGGATACTCGCTGGACATGTACTGCTCACACATATGAGTGCTCATTGCCGGCATAGATTCATCGTGAAGTGTGGCCATCATTTCGTCCGACAGGTTTTTGGACCGATCCTGTATGGAGAAGTTAAAGCGCCGTGCGAAGGCCGGTGGCCCATCGTGCGGCGCAATGCAGACTGTTGTCATCTCTTCAATCCGACTAGTCATGTTGCCGTAGGAGTCACCACGGGTAATGACCTTGCGGCGCGTAGTCTCCAAGATGCAAGAGACAGCCACATTAGAGCAAAATAAAAATACATTCTTAAGAGATTGGTAGTTACCTGCTGGCTGAGGGATCGGTCTCTAATCTGCATGGACGTGGAAGGTGTTATAATATCCCTGGGATCCGCGAAGCTATCGAAACTTTCCGTATACACCGTCTCGACATATTCCTCTCCCGTGTAGCCGCGGGCCACCGGCGCCTCCGCCATAAAGGGACGCTGAGAGGACATGCTGATCTCATATCCTTGGTCTCTCCCTCGTCCGCGGGACTTGCGGCGCGGTTGGCCCTGGCGGAGGGTTTTCATCTCCGCTGGATCAGTTTCGTCTGCAAGTGAGTGAGGATGAGTTGGACATACAGGCCATGACACTGCACCTCCGGCGAAGCACTTACGTGTCAGTTGGCGGTACTGGCGTACGGGCAATTCCGGACGCAAATGCATCGGTGTATTTACGCGATAGCTGTTGCACATGGGGTAACGTTAGCATCAACTTCGACTGCATTGTCACGTCACAAGTCACTCACCTGCTCTCACGTTCCAGCACAAGTTTCTTGCTCGGACTATTATTTGTGGGGCTAATAGATAACAATGTACAATTAAATTAGTTAATTGTTCGATGTTATTTATAATAAAATGTTGATGTCGAAGTTCAGAACATATTGAAGCTTGAAGCTTACCTCATGTTGGAGACTTGGAGCAAAACTGGGAGACAAAAATTTTGATGTGAGAGGCTCGAGAGTTGTCAGAACTATGTGTAAAAAGATAAATATCTGGAGACCTACAAAGCCTATGGGGTCAAAAGGCTGCTGCGATTCGGACAAAATTCTTTGCCACTCCCAGCAATCAGTGTACACTTTACAAAGTGTGTCAACATCCGTGACACTATTTTGTATCCAATTAAACAATTATGCGGAGCTCATTAAAGCAGGTTGTTCGAGAAGCCCCGGGAGCGTCTGCCACACGACAACCATTTCCGCTCGGAAGCTCCTGCCTTCGCTGTGGCAGAAAGCTGTATATGCAATTAGCGGGCCCACAGTTTCCCCTGCATTCGGTTTGCTTCAGTTCATTGGTTTTTGATGAAAGGCCATGACTAAAACTGAAACTGCAGAGTCAAACTCTCCTGGAAACTAAGTGCGAATGTATGGGAGATAAGTGGCGTGATTGTGTATTGAAGAAAGGGAATACGTTCTGTGTGGGGGTGGATTTTTAAGGTGTACGATTGCTTTGGGCCGGACTGAGAAGTCTTCACACAAAACCGCTTTCATTTCCGCCAAACACAATTGCATCATTAGCGATGCAATCTCCGTTACTTAACGCAGCCGCAACATGCCGGAAATGAAATCCTGGGCAAGCTGGCGTGCCCGGCGCTAAGCCCGCTGAACTTTTCCACGGTGAACGACTTGAAGAAGTAGAAGGAAATATGACGTCGCCATGTGGCATACTCCTAGTCGTAGTCAAAGACCATATTTAGTGAAGACGGTGACAGTAGCGGTGACGGCGACGGTGACGGTGGCGGTGGCGGTGGCGGATACGGAGCCGGGCACAGAGGATAAAGGAAAACAACCGGAAAGCAAACGAAATGATGCTGCTGCGCACAAATAATCGAATAAAGCCAACGCAGGGGCCAGAACCTCAGCCAGAGGTGACTCCAAAGCTGACGCGGTAGCCGTAGCCGTAGCCATTCCCATCGCTGGCCACTTAGTGGAGCGAAGCTGCTCGTAGGATAAGAAGACAAACGATTACGGCGTGTCGCTTCATTTACCTGGGAATGTGCATAGGTGATGGGGATTGGAATTGGGTGGGATTGGAATTGGTGCGCTGCCGTTTGCCGTTGGAAATAGAATGTGGGTCGGGCACCTTAATTTATTTGACTTGATCTTTACGGAACACAGACTGCAAACGTATCCACGCGTTTCAATCAGAACTTTTAATTCTAAAATCTTTTGTGATATATATATGTATGTATGTACATTACTATGTATCCTTACTATGGTGACTCATATCAAATGATTAAAATTATATTCCTTTGGAACCCTATCTTATGTGCATGGGAAAGTTTTTATGTGGTGGCCATGCGAGGGTCGATACAGGAGACCTTACCTGAAGCTTACAATAAGCATCTTTTGGAAATAGTTTTCTCGAATCATTTTGATTGGAATCGGTTCTTAAAGACGATTACCCCTGTGCTGTTTCTTAACATATTCATATGTAAATATAAACTGTTAAGCATATATATTGTCTCTGGCCAGGATATTTCCTGGAAATGGTTACACTGGAGCCCATGGCGTGTTTCGAATATATCCTATTTTTTATACGATCTGTCTGGTTGCAAATTAGTGGACTGTATTAATCTTTTTATATATTTTAACTTTATTTCTAACTAATATTGATGGTGTATCGGTTAATATTATAACGCGGTGTTAATAGAGGGGGGTGGTGGTTTCCTTAAGAATCTTTCCAACAATCAAATTTTTTTCAAAAATGTTACCTAAAAATACATACACCATACAACCATACATGGCATAGCTTACTTTTTATTTGATCTGAAATATGAAATATGTGCGTACAAATTGAGCTCATATTGAATGCTCATATCTGCGAAACTAAAAGATCGATTTTTTTCAGGTCTTCATTTTCGAAATCCTTGGAAATCTATCAGATCTGTGTATTTAAATTATCCAAAGCGCTCACTCAGGAATAGACTTTTGCCACCTCTTCTCGGCTTCGGTCGCAATGCATAACGGGAACGCATCGCTGTTTGCTTGTGCATCTGCGGGTTTCGGCTATGCGTGGTGAGGTCGTTACAGTTACGTTTTGTGCATAGCTATGCATAGGCGAACGACACAATTATGAACATAAAAATAGGTGCTGAAGCGTGGGATTACAATGAAGGACATGTGAATAGGGAAAGTAATACCAAGCGATACAAAAGTAAACTAGACAGCTCGTTTCCCAGCACTATCAATAACGATAATTATATGCATATACATATGTATATTTGCATGTATGTATGTACAACTTTGGTGGATAATTCTGGTCTAGGTTATAAAGATTGCTGCAAGTTTTTAAGAGATATTATGTTCGGAGCTTTCTTCTCTTTTATTTTATTTATTTATTATATATTTTATATTTTTAATATTTTAGAATTGCCATAAATGATCACAGCCAATAAACTTGTGGCTCCTCTCGTGGTTGCCGCTTCAAATGGAATTTTAAAGGCATATGCATGCAATGTAATGCCGCTCAAGCAGCTCCACACACATATGTATGTTACTGCTCCTTCTTACTTATGTACCTTGGCTTACTCCTGACCCAGTTGAACACCAGCGCAGTGCCCTGCCCCAAGTCCGTGCTGTCTTTTTCTGCACCGCTTTGTTGCGCATTAATGCGTATACTAAAATGGACGACGACGAAGGCATGCTAAACTAATACTCATATATGTAGGTATGATACAAATTCGAATGAGGCGCTGAAGCAGGAGACACAGAAGCAGAAGCAGCAAAAAAGGATTGCCGGCAACTGCCTCTAGGCTAGGTACGAGTTTGGGCCCGTTTCTCTCACACTTTTACACTCTCCACTCGAACCGAAAGTTCGGCGAACGTTTAACCTGCTTACCTTTCAATTTGCTGGCGGCAGCGAGATGCGGCAGCAAGGGGAGAGGGCCAAATGTACGTGTACGTGTACTTACCCGTTACGGTTACGGGCACATCATAATGCAATGGAATAATACACAAAGGGGCTTCCATTCAGGGCTTAGGCCTGGGCCAATACGGCCTCACACGGCCAGAGAGCGATTAGCGCAAATGTATCAAGAGCTTTGGCTCTGCTCCCCAGTCAAACGGAGAAGCCACAACGACCACTGAAACGGCTTCTATGGTACTACTGCCAGTGCCTCATCAAATATGCATTATGTGTGTGCACGGGAGCTGGAAACGACAGGATGTGTCCTGGCATTCGGGATGCAGGGGCCATCTGGAAATTAAGCCGAATCAATAATTGCAAGGCTGGTCTACAAGGAATTAGTGAGCCCCAGTTGAAATGTACTCGAACAAATTTGATATGGGGAACAGCATGGAGCATTAAAATGGGATATATTGACTAAAGTCCCAACTGCATCGGAATAACATAGAAGCGGGGATATGCGATACACTACTACTTCGGGATTGGGACAGGACATAATACGAATAATGAACGCCATCTGGCGTCTATCACTCGATGGCGATATCGATTCCGAAAGCTCCGCTTTCGAGCTGTTAGCCACCTAACAGAGGTATTCTCGAAATGCTTTAACATTGCAAGTGCCAAGCAGGACAACAGAGTTTCCCGTTAACAGCGAAGCACCACCATTGAAACAATAGCCAAAAACTGAACGTGCATGCAATCGATGGTCTGGGAGTCACATACGTTTCCATTCCATCCCTCGTCGATGGCGTCTCCATGGCAAAGAGTAGTAGAGCGGTGACCAAAACACTGCGTTTGCCTACGTTGCCTATGGCGACAGTGGCATAATGTGGCACAATCAGCTGGCCGCCGCCTGTGGCATGTAAATAAACAGAAATCCGCATTTATCAAAAGAATATCGGAGCAAGAGTTTATCTGAAACAGTAGAAATAGACCCACAAATCAGAGCTGCAGGTCGACATGGCCATATCCTAGATGGGTGTGCTGTGTGCCAAGCTGCGCCGCTACTCCTACTCCTTCTGCTGCTGTGTTAGGGGCTTGCCGATACCCGAAGAGTTCCAAGTGCTGCTTCTGGGACCCGCGGGCAGCGGCAAGACGGAGCTGGGCCACCGAGTGAGCGGACGAGAGCGCGACTGCGATGATATGAGTCCCACCAACGGAGTGCGATGCTACCGCATGGATTCGGCGGGTGTGCAGCGCGAGGAGTGCGCTGTGAGGCTGCAGCTTACGGAGGTCGGTGGCAATGCAGAAATGCAGCGCCTGTGGAAGCACTACTACGCGGCCAGTCATGCACTGATCTACTGTTTCGATCTCGGTTCGGGCATGGAGGAACTGGAGGACACGTTTGCGCTGCTGCGCATGTGCCTCCAGGGCACGGCTCTGGACGGAAAGCCTGTGCTGCTGGTGGCCAAGCGACACCGCGATGGAGTGCAGCTGTACGACGTGGAGCACACCTTTGGACTGGACCAGCTGGCACGCTCCTGCGGCTGCCCCCTGCACATCTGCCACATGGACGACGCCAGCAATCTGGAGCACGGAATCGTTTGGCTGTGCCGCCAGCTAGTGGCGCGGCGTCCCATGCTCGAGAAGCGCGTCCGCTACGACGTTAACATGCAGGTTATATTCGACTCCAAACGTACCCACTTTACCTTCCTCACCTGAGCTTGGTTTTCCTCCGCAGGTCTGGCACCGACGCAAGAAGTCACTCCTTTCCAGCAGCAAGCTGGCCCAAGTGCATCGCGGCCGTTTCCGTCGCCCTCACAGAAAGGTAGCCCATCCTTAGAAAGGATTTTTCGTGTAAATATTTATGTGTAACTTTGAACTCCACAGCTCTGGCCCGCAGTCGATGGGGCTAATCAGGCAACGGCGCGTCCCAGTACGGCTCCGCCGACCGTTTTCTTGGTTCGCTTGCGACAAGAGGCAGCTCCAAATACAGAGCAAGCGGCCCCTTAGGTTTCTGCCACGTGTCCGGATCCCATGTGCCAAAAGTGCCATGTATACATAGGTCTTAAGCAGCATTTTACGGTTAAGATTTAAGTAAAAATGTAATTTAGATAATTTCTCGCCTTTTCAATTGACTCTGTCTAATCGGAAAATAGCGTGCGGAGCACTTTTCACACTTCGCAAAATTCTTACGATATAAAAACAGTTGCTAATGAGCTTGTGAAATTCTAAAATGAGTTGCATTAAAAATTGTAATGCGAGGAAAAACATTTGCTAATGTTATTAGTTTCTGTACGTACAATATCCATTATATCGGAATATTATTTTCGTATGACTTTATATATGTACATATTTGATAAATCTATTTATAACCACAACTCAAATTTTACTGCACCCAATTAAACAAAAAGAACATAACATTTCGAATTCCCGACTACGCGCCAAAAGCTTGGAATACGGTCACACTGCGAAAGGGCCTTTATCGATACTCGACCATTGATATCGCGTGATCACCTAAAAATACAACAATATAATGTGTAATAATTAGGAATTATTGGAAGCATTGAGAGACAGAGACAGAGCTCCAACGAAAATGCTGGAAAAGTGTTCGTGAGTGTGTGGACATCCATTGAACGAAAATGAATCAAACGATTCGGTTGGTTGGAGAGTTAAGTGCTTCACACAATTCTTCTTCTACCCCACTGATGGCTCCAATTAACAACCTTAGCTAAAAGTATTCGCCTAATTGTGTTGAAATTGAAATCAAATTTTTTAAAGCACCATCCGCCGCACCGATACGACCAGCCAGCAGATGAGTCTGCTATGCAAAGGCTGTGCCAGTCATCCGTTTTGTCCAGATCTAGTCTGGTCATGGTCTGGCCCCGTCACCAAGGCGATGATGTATTGCCGAAAGAATTACACACACACACACGTGGGCAGAAGTGGGCAGAATCAAACAATTACTACTACACCCACAGAGATTTTAGACACCCCCGCTGATGGGTGACATTGATTGCGGCTCGTCCTTGTCGAAGTCGCGACGGCGTTGTCTGGAGACGCTCGAACGTGTGCTCATAATAATCCCTCGATATATAACCCACCGGCGCACTGCACCCGACTCCCAGGAAAACATCTGTCGCCGTGTGTTGTAGCGAAAAGTGTAAAAGAAGCATCAATCATCGCTTATTCGCGTTGTCATCAATCACACACAAACACGTGTGGCGGAGGAATAGGAGGGGATATGCTGCAATGAAAAAAGGAACAACAGGAACACCAGGGACAGGAATGGCAGTCAGACGGCAACAGGAACAACAACAACAAAAACCGTCAACGTCCCACTGGCAGCACCGTGGGGTGGTGGTTAGTTTTTGTCAACGCAGGAGAGGCATATTTACAAAAGCGCCACCGCCAATGACAATCCCTCTGGCGCGGTCACTCCTTCTGCAGCATTCCTAATCAGTGCTAAGGGGAGAGTTATTAAATCATGAGGTTGTACGATCCGGCCCAGGCATCATCCGCTGCCATCGGCCGCTGTCACATGTCTGTCAACAGTCAAGGGCTTAGAAATGTGTAACCAAATACGAGTATGTGCCGCCGGGTCAGCAGCGGCTCATCCATATCGACAACCCGTTCTACAACCCTCGTCGTTCGCCGTGGTAATGTTAATGGTGATGGAGATGGTGCGGCAGTGCGCTAAGGCGGAAAATAAAGATTTAATCGGCATTTTTTGACATTTTTCAGACATTGTTACGATTATGCATGAATATACACATTCCGGCGAGAACGGGGAGGAAGATTTGAAGGATCGGAAAAGACTAGAGGGGACTGCGCATAGTGTAAATTAAATTTCGAAAATACGTTGCAACTAGTTTGCATCCGCAGCTGCCCAGTAAGGATTGCCGCCTCCGAAAACATAATCAAATAAAGACACGCCGCCGCTTCAACACTTTCAGTCCACACGGGAGTGCGAAAACGGGCGATTCGGTCAAGTGGTGGACCGGTAAGTGGGTAACCCGATACGCTCATTCTATGCATGGGTGTGCGGCGGGCCAGGGCGTTGGTTGGCAAACAAACTTGCTGAAAAAAGGCTGCAGGACATGTGCACCACGAAATTAGTTTTCAGGATGAAGGACGTAGGACGAAGGATAGCAGCAGAAGTCGCAGTAGAGATAACGACGACGCTGTCGCTCTTTTTAATCGAACATGATATCCACAAAGTCCACAAAATGCAAAGCTGCCCCTGCTGCAGCCCCTGCTGCAGCCTGTAACTATCCATGGCTCCTTTCGGAGCTCAGGCACACAAAATATAGACGGAGACGCAAGTGGACCCAGGCACATTTCTGCCACAGAGACAGAGAAAACTGAAAAAATCCGAAAGCGGATTAAAAGTATTCGTGAGAATTCTTCAACGATTTCACACCTGTTCAGCAGCTAGCCATGGCCCTGGACATGGACCTCAATCACATAAACCTCGCGTCACATCCCCTACCAATCCCGCTCCCATGCCACAGCCCACAACAATGCGTCTGGCCGTCCGGCATAAAATGCCAATTAGAATTTCAAGTTCGCAGTCCGTTGTTCCGTGCACGGTGCCCCGATGACGCCTTAAGCGCCCTCTGTCACCCATCCTCCCCGGTCGACTTTTCGCAACGCAAATTGTTTATCACCCCCAGGGCTCTTTATTAACTTTACGGCCGGTGGGGCCTGTGAGAACTGACCTCTGCCACTCTTCGCTTCCGCCTCTGCCTCTACCACCGCCTGCGGCTCAGTCTCCTTTCCAGATCGATTTTTGCTTAACTTTCAATTTCCATGCGCTTCGATTTGGTTTGGTCCTCAGCTCCACCTACTGTTCCTGCCACAGCTCCCACTCCAGCTTATGCAGCTCCTCCTCCTGCTGCTCTCCTTCGCTCCTGTTCATCCATTTTCGGTTTTTTTTGGTCAACGCGCAACGCGAAAATGCACTCAAAATATTAAATGCTTCAGTAGATTGCAATTATTGCGAGACGAGTTGCCTTGTGCTTAATTCATAATACGAACCGAGCCCAAAGAGGATGATTTTCGCTTGGGCTTCCGGCCTGCCCGCACAGTCCTCCTGGTTCACAGGCAGTGTGGGTGACATGGAGCTCATGTTGATGTGGATGATGGGGAAGAGGCGGCGGAGCTGACTTCTCACCTGAGCAGATTAGCAGGGAGAACCTCAGATTGTTTCATTCGGAATAGTGGCTCAAAGTTGATTGATTTCATTATTTTATTCTGCGAAGAAAGATTATCGGAAAGAGAAAAAAATCCCAGCAGCGAAGCAGGAGAGAGAAGCAACCCCCAATTTCTAATCCTGCTGATACACATGTTTAAGAAACTTTTATTTCTATAGGGAAATGAGGAACTGCAGATTCAGATCATTGGCAGCCACTAAACATCTGATCAATCATGGCCAATAGTAATTTTCCAGTGAGAAAGAGTAAATGGATTCCAAAGCTTTAAAGAAGCAGAAACAAGCAGAGAAGTAAACATAACCACAGCCACTGTATATACTCGTACATTTGGCTGCCACAAACTTATTCTGAATCATATTTAATCATGGGAATGGTTTCCAAATATGGATATTTTTTTGAGCCATATGCCAGAACTGAACGTCTACACAAAATTAACGCATTAAATTGGCCCCATGGAATGGGGATGGGGATGTCGTCGAAACGGAGATGTGAAGGAGGACGTTGGCATTTTTCGTGTGTGTGTGGCAAAACATAAATATAAATTCTCAGGCGCTTTACGAGTTACGAGCCTGCAGCCGAAATAAGGAGAAAAGGATTACATGCCACAATGAGCAGCAGAGGAGCAGCAGAAGCAACAACACCCACAACTAAAGTCTTCGATAAAGCAAAGTCTATGAGATTTACGAGCAGATTTCAGGAGTTACAAATACATACATGAATTTGGCCCCGGCAAAAGGAGGAGGAGGAGAGGAAAGAGTGTACGGATGGAGAATGGAGATAAAAGGATAGGGACACGCATAGCCGCAGGACACGGCTTTTATGTTGTGGACGACGGCGTCAAGTTGCCAAGAGCAAAACTTTCAATTGCATTTTGGCCAAGTATCTTTTGGCTTATCTTTATTATCGCTGCTGTTATTATCCTGGTGCTGGTACTGGTCCTGGTCCTGCCACAGGCAGACCCACAATCCCGGCTCTCTGTCAGGCTCATAAAGTATGTTATGTGTCATAAATGACAGATTCTTAGGCATACTTCATTGATCCCTTTGGCCGCCCTGTTTGTACGATGTTGCTCCGCCAGTTATTCCCTGGTAAATTGTTGCAGTATCTACGGCGTGCACACACATACGCGCAAATACGAGTATGCCTTCACGGAGAGACGGATGGAATACTCTCACACACTGCCACGGCACGGAGATGTGCGTGTTTGAAGTTTGCTTTTGATAAATGAATGGATTTTCAAAGGCGACGTTAATGAAATACGCATACAGGCACAATCCCAAGCAAAGGCACGGTACGGCATGGCACGGCACGGCCCGGCAAGGCAAGGATGCTAGACGCTGAGAATGCCACACCATATCCATCGCCTGCCCAGCATGATGTGCGTATCGTATGCCGGAGTTGGTATGTGCGAGTATGCCTCAATATGTATCCCTCAATCTATCAAACTCTCGTGTCCGTCGTGTCTCAATTTACTTTCTTATGTAGTAGATGCTGAGCTTGCGGCACAGGAGGCTGGAGGCGTCACCATTGCCGGCCTGGCATTTTGATATAGTCCGCCTTGGTAGATTTATGAAGTCCCAAGGCATTGGAAGCAGACGGACATGGACATGAGCACATGGACCATCCATTCATACGGCCTGGCGTAGACCCTTGATAGACAAATCTGTATAATGAGGATGGGAGTTCCCCCATGAAAGAGTGGAGATGGTTCCCCTATGATCTATATCATATCAACAGAAAGCTCTCTGATTAGTGGAGGAGACTGAGTGGCAATGCCGTGGCAGTTGCACAACTAACTGTTCACCTGCTCTTCCCCAGGTG